CCCCCCCAAAATCTAAAAGACAAAGCTTGATTTTGAAATTTTATGTAAGGTACACTAATTTTTACGCCATTTTATGTAATGGGACTTGAGCATCCACAAATTTTGGTATCCACAGGAGGCCCTGGAACCACAGCCCAGTCTATAAACTTAGAGGATTTTTAAAAAAATCATGAAAATGTATGGTTTAAACATGCCTCAGAATTGTGTGTTATAACTTATTAAATCATTATTATTTAAAGTATTACTAATTTAAACTGTAACTAAATGAAAACCTTACATTTCATATTTATTCTAGGTCATTCATCTTCCCTTTCTTAATTCGTGGAGGAAAACCAACACCTTTCGTTACTTGTTTTCTAGCTTTTGTATTCTGTTCGTATAATGGGTATTTGCAAGGGCGGAGTTTGAGTAACTATGCAAATTACCCTTCAGACTGGCTGACTGATCCACGTTTCATATTGGGTGAGTTATTTTAGCATCAAATATGTAGCAGATATATGGCTAACTCTATGAATGATAGTTTCATTGTGCTACAACAAAAGCTGTTAGACTTCATTTTCTCTTCTGTTCAGGTTAAGATGTCCCTTTCTGCAATCATATTCTCAAATAAACACATATCTCTATATAAAAAGAAATATTCCTATTTTCTGAACATTTATTGGGATCAGTTTCTTCAGAGCCATTCTATTTTTAAATTACTGCCTGAAATGTATTTTGCTATTTGAATCAGTCATCTTTCTGTCGAGCTCCATAATGAAAATTAGTGCCATCTAGCACTTAGGATTTTCCGTTTATTCAGCCTCTAAATAGGACCACAAGTTTTGTATTAAATTAAAAACAGAGATGTAATCGTGAAGCCTAGAGGATCTTTATTGCAGAACACTTGGAAAAATATTTTATTTATATGAGAGAGCATATAACCTCCAAGGTGATTTTTGTGATCTGTAGGGCCCTTCCAAAAAACATCTATGAGGGCATTTTCCCCACATTTTAGGCACATTCTGGGCTATTTTAGTTTTCTAGTTTCAAAAGTCCTCTTTTAAAACTATACATAAACCAGAAGTTACTTTCAGGGTTTTTAATGCCTCTTTTAAGCCTAAAATGGCCCAAGGAGTCTGAAAACATGACAGAAAATCTTCCCACAGCCCCTAAAGGGTGTTGGGTACATTTGGCAGCAAAGTGTGGGGAGGGTTGCAGTGGTGGTGTAGTGATGGGATGCAGTGCCCATGTCAGCAAGAGGCTAATGTGGCCCTCTAACCTCCCATAATTACTCAGGTTTAGGATCTGAAAGTGGATATGTGTATGGATATGTATGTATGTTGTTCCCTAATGTAAATTTAATACAAAAATAAATTCACCATGTTTTAGAGGTTTGGAAAATTGTATGTATTTCTTGACTATGGAGAAGTCACTTTGTAGACACTAATGCAGTTTTTTTTTCTTAGCAAGCTTTTTTCCCTTATAGATATCCAAATTATTGTTCCACCACTTTATCTTACTTCCAATCAGTAGGATGGTGACAACACTGGCACTTCCTCTGTGTCATCAATTTGATTTTTCCAAACGGAGTTACACTGACTGTCTTTTCTGTTGATGTGGGAAAGATGTTTCATACTTTAATTCAGCAGTTTTATATGAGTTCCTTTATTATTATTATGTTTATTTATTGTAGAGAGATATTGACAAGCTGAAATGTGTCCAGAGGAGGGCGACTAAAATGATCAAGGGTCTGGAGAACAAGCTCCTATGAGGAGTGGCTTAAAGAGCTGGGCATGTTTAGTCTGCAGAAGAGAAAACTGAGAGGAGACATGATAGCCATGTATAAATATGTGACGTGAAGTCATAGGGAGGAGGGAGCAAGCTTGTTTTCTGCTGCCCTAGAGACTAGGACGCAGAACAATGGCTTCAAACTACAGGAAAGATTTCACCTGAACATTAGGAAGAACCTCCTAACTGTGAGAGCTGTTCAGCAGTGGAACTCTTTACCCCAAAGTGTGATGGAGGCTCCTTCTATGGAGGCTTTTAAGCAGAGGCTGGATGACCATCTGTTGGGGGTGTTTTGAATGCGATTGTCCTGCTTCTTGGCAGGGGGACTGGACTGGATGACCCATGAGGTCTCTTCCAACTTTATGATTCTATGATTGTATGAGTATACCTCTCTTTTTCTCTCCACCAGGAGACTCAAACCAACGCTTGCATAAAAGCAGCTCTTACATGATAGCTTACATCAGGGTGGACAAGCTGCTACCTGCAGGCAAAACCTTTGTCCTAGAGTGTAAAACATTTTAGTTCCAAAAGCCCCTATAATGATTTCTAGGGAATGTGGCTAAAGGTTCCACCATGTTTGGAGCTATCTGGAACCCCAAAGGGGTCAACATGAAATTTTGTGAATTTTTTTCAGACTTGGAATGTCCTAAACTGCTTTTTGGGAGCCTAGGAAGGCCCCCTAACATGCCCGCATGTCTCCTAGAGAGCATTTGAGGGCAAAAACCAATAATTACCATATCTCATTGTGTAATAGTCATTCTTTTTTCCATTTTAAAAAGGGGGTGAGACTATTATACGAAGGGGAAAAAAACCACTTTTTTTATTCTGAGCTAGTATTTTTTTTTTTAATAAAACTATGTTGAAAACACTTTGAGAACATATCCAAGGGTGGCCAGGAATTTTTTTTACATATTTCTTGGAAGGGGATGGTCAGTGGCTGGATGAGGGACCGAGTAAGAAAGTGTGTGGGCAAGTGAGTGAGTGGTGAGAACCACCTCCCACCCACTCACTTGCTCATGCACTCACTCAGATGCCCATCTATCTGCTCTCCTCCCCCTTCCAGAAACTGTACTTCAAGTGTTTCTGGAAAGGGGTAGTCAGCAGATGGATGGGCGACTGAGTGAGTGCATGCGTGAGTGAGTGGGTGGGTCTTTGGGTGAGCTAGTGAATGGGCAAGCAAATGGTGTCTTATACCAGTAAATCAAGGGTACAACTATTATGTGAGGAAAACAAATACTGAAACCGGGATCCCAAAAATGGGGATGTGACTATTATGCAACGGCAACTATTATGCAATGTAATATGACAGTTTTGTAGGAGATGGTGAATGCAGCCCTTCAAAATACCTCAGAAGGCTAATATAGCTTTCTAGTCTCCCACAGTTGCCAACACCTGGCTTTTGTGAGAACAGTGTACCTGTGTTGTTTGCTCCTGTCTAATTTTTGAGTTTTAACTTTTGTTCTCTTCACCTACGGGAAGTTGCTCACCTTCAAAAGTATGCAATTTTAGGGTGATTGCAACAATTTTACCTGGAACAATGTGCAGAAAATCTACTGTAACAGCAATAAGCTATCTACAAACAGAAATCTTTAGGAAACATTATTGGATGAAGTCTTATGAGAAGATATGCAATTAAGTAATTAAGATAAAACTAACTGCAAGGGCCAAAGTACATACTAGTTGTATGTACTCTTTTAGATAAATTGGTAGGAAGTTGATGAAGTTATCTAGCAAATGAAATGGCAAACGTTTCTGATAAAGAATCAGACCACTTTCTGCAAAGGTGTTGTTATAACTTACTCTGAATAAACAAATTGAAGGGATCCAAACCTGGAGGATTCTCCTGCTCTAGAAGATGGTCTCTCCCCATTAGCTGAACACTCAAAAGGCCCACGTAGTTGATGCAGGCACTCTGGATCCCCACCCCTCATGCATAGGGTGCTAGGAAAAGCCTCCTTCATTTGCAGAGTGGCAACTGACTTTTTTCATAAAGGGGGGTAAACCAGCATTGAAGTAGGACTGTCACCTTTGCTGGCAGTTTTTATCACACAATGCTGGGCACAACCCATTCCCAGTCTTCGTGAGGTGAGCCCGATCCATTGAGGTGGGATTGCGCACTCTCCCATTCCCCCTTACAGTAATTCATTGATTTAAAGGTGTATGTGTTGTTGTTTTTCACTAACCTTAACTAGAATGGTGAATGTGTGTATAAAAAAACATATTTGTTTTTTTTAATGAAACCATTGAATTGCAGGAAGCTGGAGTTATGCTTCTAAAAAAAAGTACTGCTCCAGCACAACAGAATTGCAAATCATTGCAGTTATGCCACAAAGGAGTGGTGCGATAATGGTCTGCTCTCTTGATAATTTCTCTGACTAAAGTTAGATTTGTCATGATCAAAATTACTCTTGTTAAGTGATCCGTGGAAAATGCTCTGAATGACCCTTGAAAAGTTAATAGTAAAACTTGCACTATGGGCGAAAATCTCATAGTCCATTCCTTAGATTTTTCTTGGTCTGTTTTCGACCTTCACTTGTTTACCTAGCCAGCAGTTAAGGGACAGGTTTGCTTCTCTGCAATTAGAAGCAAGGGGTTTTTTTTTATTTATTCTGCATTTACTAGGATGGGCAGAAAAGGATTTGCTTTAGGGTAAAATAATGAGATAACTCACGTTGATTTGGAAAAAATATTCTAATTTAATCTTTACTTTCTTTAAAACATGTACTAAAATCAGAAACATAGTGGCTATTTTTTAGTAGCTTCTGTTAAGGAATGAAAGCAACCATCAAAGAAAAGATGCATTGCTATTCTACAGCTACTTGACTAGCTGGCTACACAGTCTACAACTGAGGCCTAATTGCTGATTTTTCAGCACAATCAGCTCAGTGAAAGGTTCTTCCAGATTTTTCTGATGGAAAACAAATGACAGAATGTAATTTTTTTTGCAAGGAATGTATTTTGAAGCAATTGTTGTTGTTGAGATAAACAGGAGATTTTCTGCAAACGTTTAAGTAAACACTCCAGTGCTATATGCTCATGATTTGAATTTGAGAAATAAATCTACTTCCTTGAAAGCATCGTCATGGCAAAAGTCAGTTTTCTGACTTTTATTAGAATAACAGAAAACAGAGCAACTCCATTAGGTTCAGTGAGATACGATGTGTGCATGTTCAGTGACTATTCCAGGAACAGAGTTGCATTAGAAAAAATGGCATATTTTTTTAAAAAAATTGGATTCCTGTGATATGGAATTTAACTTAAGGTCAACATTAAATCCTTTGGGGTGTACTGTTGTAAAAAGTTTTTTACTCCAAAATTGGAAGATTAAATATTCACAAGCTGTTGTTAATGATCAAAAGATCTTACTGACTTAACAATTCAAAAATTTATTCTATAGGTATAAATTTCAAGAAAATGTATTATTGGAAATACTGTCAGTCCATAGCCATTTGGTTTAGTTGGTCCCCTTCAGCCAATCCAGTTTGTTCAGCTTGTCCGGCTGGCCATAATGGCAAGGGCTCAGCCACCATGTTTGTTTGTTTGTTTGTTCGTTTTGCCTGAAACAGCCCATGTGGCTGCTGGGCATGGCTTCTTCCCTTCTATTCAGAAGCACATTGCACATGCTTCCTTAACCCCATTTCTCAAAACCAGTCTCCCTCAAAAGGAAGAAAGAAAAAGAGCCCAGGAAAGGCTTCCTTAACCCCGTTGCTCAAACCCAGGCTTCCTTGAAAGGAAGAAAGAAAGGGGTCCCAGGAAGGAGGCTTCCTTCATCCTGTTCTTCAAACTCAGACTCCCTTGAGAGGAAGATAGGAAAGGGTCCCATGGCAGGTACTTCCTTAACCCCGTTGCTCAAACGCAGACTCCTTTGAAAGGAAGGAAAGGGCCCTAGGAGGGGTGCTTCCTTAACCCTGTTCTTCAAACCCAGACTTCCTTGAAAGAAAAATAGGAAAGGGTTCCAGAAAGGATGCTTCCTTAACTCCTTTCTTTAAAAACAGGCTCCCTTGAAAGGAAGAAAAGAAAGTGTCCCAGGAAGTGTACTTCCTTAACCCCGTTGCTCAAACCCAGACTTCCTTGAAAAGAAGAAAAGAAAGGAGCCCAGGAACGGAAAAGGCAGCCTCATAAGTTCCCCATTCCCACCAATGGGCCAGATCTACCTGGATCTTTCGGTTGCCTATCTGCAAACAGATTTTTCCATTAGCCAATTTTCGGGACGCTCCTGAAAACGAATCTGGGTACTCAACGAAATTCGGATACCAAAACCAGATTGCCCTCTAGCCAAATTGCACAAGCCTAATAACCATCTATTGTTACTATATAGCATACATTTCTCTCCCCCTTCCTCTTTCCTGCTTCTTTTCTGTTTGTAATTATAATAGAAAAATATGGTAATTCTGTAATTTGTTCATTAAAAAATCTATTTTCCAAACTAGGTCTTATAGCATGGATGAGTGGTCTGACAATTAATATACACTCCGATCACATTTTGAGGACCCTCAGAAAACCAGGAGAGACGGGCTATAAAATACCAAGAGGTAAGTAATGCACTATAAAAAACTACTGTTCAAATGTTTCATTGAAATGTAAGTACTTTGTTTTGAAACATTCTAATTTTAAAAGACCCCCAATTTACTTATGAATTTTAGCTGATGCAGGAGTTGATTGAAGCTGTAATCTTGTATCCACTAACTTAAGAGTAGGTCCCATTGAAGCCAGTGCCTTATTTCCAAACAGAATTGCAATTTGAAAGTTTATTGTGATTGCAACATGTTCTGATCCCCATATACCCATTTTCAAATTACCCTGGACTCTAAAGTAGACAGATCATCTTCCTCTCTCCACCATACTTTCAAACCCTCTGGACTCTATAGTTTTCCTGGCACTAAAATTATTGAAGATGTGGTCTTGTAACAGCGTAGAAAGTAGCAAGTATGGTTGCCAGATCTTGCTCATGGAAAGAAGATCACTGCTGCTGCTGCTTTCCCAGTGCAACCCAAGACAGCCTTTCTTTTCTGTACACATGCACATGGTTGGCACTGTCTTTAGGCAGAATGAGGAAACAAGCTGCAAGCAGCACTATTCTATTCCATTTTATGCATGAGGAGGGATCTGCCCCCACTGCCTTAGCTCCCTTCCCAGAGCTACCCACCCCCATCACTCTACTGTGCCACTCATTCCTTCTCCCTCTTTTCTTTGCTTAGTGGATGGATGGGCCATGATGGCAACTTACTTTTTCCATATTGCTGCTGCTTGCCCATCTACTTCCTTTTCTGCCTCCTCTCCCCTACCCCACCCCCCAGCCCTATAAAGATGTGCCCTATAAAGACATTTCTGTGTTTGTATTCACAGTGAGAAGGACTAAACAATTATTTTACATATTTGGGAATTGGCCAGGTGTGTTGAAAGAAGAAAACTTGTATGTGGCAAGTGCTTCTCCCATCCCAGGCAGTAACACAAAAGCATTAGAAGAAAACAATTACAACAAGGGTCACTTTGTGCTTTAACAATTCTGCAGCTATCTCCTAACTATAGTATTGTCCTTGGCCAACCCCACTCAAAATTACACTGAAAGTATTTTGTTTCTAGAACATAACTTCCTTTTGCAAGGGTACCAACTCCCAGCCGATGTAGTCAGACATGGCATGATTTAAAATTAATGTAATATTTACATTGTTAGTGTATTTACGGTCCTTTCAATAGCTATCTGTAATGTAACACCTGAAATTTCAGGTTTCTTAAGTCATTCAAATAAATTTTGTTCTTTAGGAGGAATGTTTGAATATGTAACTGCAGCAAATTACTTTGGAGAAGTTCTCGAATGGTTTGGATTTGCTCTTGCCTGCTGCACCATAGAAAGTGCTGCTTTTGCCATCAGCACATTAATGATATTAGGATTACGATCATACAAGCACCATGAGTAAGTTTTTAGACATTCTATTTTCTCATGAATTTTCAATTGAGTTGATATAATAAGACAGTTATTTTAATTCATAATGTGTCTACCTGTGGAAAGGAAAAGGGACAAGACATATTCTCAAACAGCACAACATTTTTCTGGACGCAGAGTTGCAACTAAATTCAATTAAGCTGACCACAGAAAGGTAGTGTGCTTTCTAATCAAAAAGTCCCAGTATTTTGACCACAAAGCCTTAGCTCCAGTATGCCGTTCATTACTGACTATTCCTAAGAGTTTTTTAAAAAAATATTTGAAGAAATTACAAAGATCACCTAGATAATATCTAGAATTGTGATGGAAGGGATGAAAATTGACCTGGTTTAAATATATACTCTTCAGTTTTTAAAATCAAGATTATTTTACTCAGAGTTATTCTTATTTAAGGAATTCAACAGATGTTGTGCATGCATGTTTAATACAGATGCCATGTGCTAGAATTTTTTTTTAGATTTTCACACAATTTTTAAGCACAAAGGTTTGGCTGTTCAAGCAATAAGTTGCTTAAAATAGAACAATGCTGAGAGAAAGCCTTTGGATCATCTCATAAATACATTTTTGTTTTTAAATTATGAATCTCTCATCTACGACTATATACAGTCTGGCACAATGAATGCCCAAAGTGGATGGAACAGTTGATGTTATGGGTACTTGCAAAAAGTACATAAAGTAGAGTTAGTATCCTCCATTGATTTCTCTTCCAGGCTAAGAGCTTGGATTTAAACTTTGTAGGAAAACATCTTTTTCTTAAAAGTAGTTTGCTGTCGTGCGATACTGGATAACATTTTACATTTTGAGGCTTGAATCCATTTGTTACTTTATATCCTGTGAACAGAGTAAGTTAAAGCCTATGTAAGTTCCAGTGATTCAGGGTGGTTCAGTTGAAACTAACAAATGGATTTGGCCCTTTTTGATTTTGTGGAACTGAGAATGCCAGCAGCAAGTTAGCTCTTGGACAACCTCAGACTCAGGCATATTTCCATCATCATGATTGACGTGTGTGTGTATGTGCACATGCCTTTAAGCTACCATAAAAATATGTGTGTGTGTGTGTGTCCCCAAAACAATACCCAAAAAGCAAACCTTGCTTTTGTCATTTTATACAAGGGGCACCATTTTACTAAGCTATTATTTATAATGAAACTACAGCATCAACAAATTTTGTATCAACTGCAACCAAAGCTCAGAGGATATGAAGGGCCCACTTAAAGGATAGTATAGATATGTAATAAATAAACAAATCACTGCATTAACAGTCAACTGTTTTTGAATTACCTGTTTAAATATCTGTCTTATGTCAAACCAGACCTCTTATCCTCTTAGTGAAGCAATTCTTGAGATGTGGAATATTGATGTTTCTTAAGATGGTCAAACAGAATAAATGCTCCACTATAATTAGTCTCTTAACTCATTAAAAGGTGTGCTTTGGTACTCTTAACTTGCATATCTGAACTATAAAGACACATCTTAATTTAGTAGAAATGTAAACAATTTGATCCAGATAATATTGCTCACTATTACTACTTCTTCAGGTGGTACCACAAGAAGTTTGATGACTATCCACGCAACAGGAAGAGACTTATTCCCTATCTGTTCTGAATTCCATCTCATACTCTCTTGTTGCTTCTGAAAAATCACTGCTGCTATAGAAGAAGATGTTGGCAAAATAATCTCTGGTGCTATTGTGGAAAAAGAATGAAAATGAGAGGTTTGCTAAATGATTTCTGGTACCGAGAAAGAAGGGCGTTTTTGGGGGGGGGGGGTAGTGTGCTTCTGGTGAGAAAACATATTCCTTGTAAAATCATAGAGTTTGAAGAGACCAATTTGAGTGCTTTGAACTACGATACAGTTCCAAGTGGAATAGGAGCACAGTCTCTTCAAATGTGTGGTTGAGAAAATGTGGAAACAAATTCCTGCATGTCAGGGTAGTGGACTGGATGGTCCTTGTGGTCTCTTCCAACTCTATCCTTCTATCATTCTAAATTAGGTTAAGAGGAATTACCTCCAAGGAAGAACATGGTTGATGCAGAACATTTCTTTACTGCTGGCTATACATTTCCTGTTCCTAGGACCATTGTGTGTCCTGCAAATCTATTTCATCACCTTAAGAAACTTCTGTTTAGAGCAGAGCTGTTAAAATGAATAGGGCCTGTCACAGTTAAATGTGTCTATTTTGAGTAAAGCCGGTTTTAATTTAGCTGAGGATATTGAAAAAGAGGGTTCAAATATTGTACTATATGAAATATCTTCAGAGTTTTGGTCTAGGAATATACTCTAGGAGTCTGCCAAACATCCAATATGATCATCATAGGCAATCCCTTGTAGCTGAGTATGATTGCCTTCCAAATGTGGGTCCTTGGTGATGGGTCCCTGAGTGACTAGAGACCTATTCTTAATCTGCATATTTTTTCGCTTTGAGGACAGGTGGCAGGCGATCCCGACAGTGGTTGGCCTGACATGCCTTCCTCTTGTCATGTTTCCTCCTTTCACTCTCCATTCGTGCCTCTTTGAATTCCACAGCACTGCTGGTAACAGCTGACCTCCAGTTAGAGCGCTCAAGGGCCATGGCTTCCCAGCTCTCAATGTCTATGCCACAGTTTTTAAGGTTAGCTTTATAAGCTTAACATATCCAATCTGATGCCAAACCTTTCAGGATGGAACAACTTACTCGTATCGCATTTTAACACCTTCATTCCTCTGTCTTTGAAACAAATCAAACAAATAACTGATTTATGAAGGGACAAATAAGGTTTTCTTATGCAAACCTTTTATTTTTCTGAGTGAAAGACTTTAATATAAACAATGGCTAAAAATCCTGAATGTTATATATAAAACAGGCAGATCAGAAAAAGTATTAGGTAGTAAAGTTAGTATCCAATGATTGTTTTTCACACCATTTTCTCTGCTCTTTTTCTTAAAATGAGTGACTTTTGTGTCCGTTTGATAAAATGAAGAACACTTACCATAATAACTCACACCATGATTTATTGTCTCTTACCTTTCTAGGTGTTTGTCAATTTATAGATTTTTTTTACAAATATTTAAAATGTTTAAAAGTAAATTCAATTCATATGTTTGCCATTGTTCACATAAAATGTACTTTTAAGTGTACTGCATTCAAACATAATTTCTTGAGAAAAGCAACTTCAATTTAACTGAAGTTAGGGATACAGGAACTCTGTGAAAGTGAAAAAAGCAAAAATTAAAAATTGTTCTTTCTTAGCTTTGAAGAACACCTTCCAAGGAATTTCTAGGTCTTCCAGCATGATTTTATGCTCAGTGGCCCTTCAATGAAGTTTACCAAACCATATATACACACACACACACATACACACACACACATCCATCCATCCCTACAGAATGGGGAGAAAATTCAGAAATGTTACATGCAAGCGAAACAGAAAAGAGAAGAATGATACTGTAGGGCAGTATCACCAGCCAGTTTACCAGCTGTTAGGATTTCTGGGAGTTGAAGGCCAAAACATCTGAGCACCCACAGGTTGAAAACCACTGCTGTAGGAGGATAAAAATGTTGGAGGTGGCACTCCCAGATGGAAAAGGGGTGTGTGGAATTACTGTTTCACTAGCTGTTCCTCTACTCACCTCATTGTGAAACCTTGTTATGGAACTGATTTACTAACCCTAAAGACAAAAAGAAGTATCTACTTGTTAAGTTTTTCTTATTAATATCTGCCAGGAAAGAAGGACAGGAATAGTTGACTGGCGTAAGAGAGCAGGTGTGACTGAACCTGCTAACTGCCTTTTCTTTTCTACTCTATAAATATGGTGGAAACGTTTACCTTTTGAAAGTTGAGAAGAAAGGCAAAGTAAGATGTATTACAAATCTATGTGGCAAGTATATTTGTGCTTACTCTTACAGAAGTCATTAAAAACAGGCGTCGCAACAGTCTCCGCTCCAAGGTTTTCTGAAATGATCAAATGTGACACCAGAATTTACAAATCTGAAAAATAACAGTAGCAGAAAGGTACCTCTTCCTGCTTTGTGGTGTTGACCCCCCCCCACCTGTTTTTCTATGAATGTACAAACAAAAATGTGTAGCATCCCCAGTAATCTGGAAAGACAGTTGAAATCCTGCTTGCATCTAGTGGAAAAGCACTGAGGGTGTACCATTAAAGGGCCTCTAGAAGCGGTTTTTGTTGCTGGAAACTGACAAGGAGACCTTACAAAATGAAATGCAGCAATTGCTTGTCTGAGTGAGCTGTATCTTTCTAAAAGTGTAAAATATTTTCAATTATTTCTTGACTGACATTGATTGCTAGAATGGACTTATACTGCTCCCTATCGTTCCTAAAGACGAAATGATCCAATACAGCATGTTTTTCTTTGGAAATAGTCCTATCATATTTAGTAATATTAACAAGTAAAAGTATACCTAAGCTTGCAGTCAGCGGTCACCATTATTTTCAACCCAGTTGGCAAAAGAGATTGCAAGAGTGAAGCACTCCATTTTGACTCTAGCCCCCGGCCAGCACAGTTTAGAAGAAATATTTCACTTACCATTTATAGTGTGATAAATCATATTTAATAATTTTAAATGGGAAATTGCCAAGGACAGTGATGTCTTGCTGACATTTCTTCAAATACTACTCATGGAATATTACTTACAGGGAACAAATACTGGTGCTTTTTTAGTCTAAAATGATCATTTGTACTTAATGTACTTTGTCTTATTATTGATGAAATAAAGATATTTTTCCTACTCATGATTACTGTATTGTATTATTATTAGTGGCTGCCTTTTTTTAATCTGTGTGTGTGCACCTCATCTGTCTGCTTATGGTAATCCCACAAATTTTATAAGGATTTCTTAGGCAAAAAAAGTGGTTTTGTAACTTCTTTCCTCTGAAATATTGCCTGTAGTACCAGGCATTCATGAGCAACCTCCGATCCAGAGCTGACCCTGCTTAGCTTTAAAGATCAGATGGCACCTTTAGGGTTTGCATTTTATTAAAATGTTGCATGAGTTTTCTATTTTTATCTCCTATCTGGTATTTGAGCCATGTGGGCTCACTTTACAGTAGTGCTTCAGATTTCCTGTGCTACAGTGCAACAAATAGTTTAGTATTTGCTTTTATACACAAGTCCTTACATTCGAGTAAAAATTTAAGAACATTTTCAGTTGCAGAATTAAAGGGGCCCTGGTTAGCCATCAAGTCCAATTCCAATTTTCATGTCAAGAAATTCAGAGCTGATGCATCCCCAGGAGATGGCAATCAGCCTTGTCTTGAAGAACTACAGCAAGCTCTGGACAAAGTATTGGAGCTCTTCTCAAGCCATATTTATTTTTTCTAGAAGAGTTAGCTAAAGTACTCTTGCGAATTAGAATAACATGTTCTTGCAACTTTGTTCTGAAACTCTCTAACCAAATGGACAAGGGAATTGCTTTAACTTTCCATATAGTGGTGTCGGGCCACCTAAAAATTAATGTTTAATCCACTATCGATTTTTAACTCTGACAGAACAATACATCTATTTATCAATTTCATTCAAACCTACTTAGACAATACAATCTAAGGGTATATTCATTTTCAATCTTGTTGAAGTAGACAGAAAGAGAAAAATATGTTCACCCCACCAACACTCATTTGCTTCCATTTTGTTGTATTGAACTTCAGTTGATTTATCCTGCTGCATTCCATCTCAGTGCACAAGGGAAAGTATTAACTCACACGAAGCAGGCTGAAAATGGAGTACAAAGTAGCCTTTTTTGGATAATTAAATTTCTCCAACTATTTCATATAGACGTCAGAAAAGTTCCCTATAAAGTTGTAGAAGAATTGTGTATGCAATGAGTTGCCTGCTATCCAAGTTGTCATCCAACTATGCAAGAAGTATGACAACGAAAGCAGAATGTTTGTCATTGACTAACACATTTTCAGTTGGGATCCATGGCCACCAGCCTACACATATACACACACCCCTTGTTGCATGGTTCACTCAGACAGGAGAGTGCTATTGTAACGGAGTAAGAATTGTTTCATCAGGACAACTAAGTAAATACACCAGAATGGGGAAAACCTCTCATAGAATCATAGAGTTGGAAAAGACCTCATGGGCCATTTAGTCCAACCCCTGCCAAGAAGCAGGAAAATCGCATTCAAAGCACCCCTGACAGATGTTTTTAAACCTGTGTTTAAAAGCCTCTAAAGAACCAGCCCAATAATTGTTTTATTCAGGAATTATATTCAACTGTCCAATAAAATATAGGCAGACTACCCTCTCCTCAAACTCTTACCTACTACAACTATCTTACCCCCATACCAAAAGTCTCTTCCTGTATATAGAGATATAAAAGCAATTGAGTTATCTTTTTCTGCTCAGAACCTGTGGGACATTTTTGTTTGGGAGAGAGGACTTTAGCAAGTGCGTAAAGTGATTAGAGATCCCGATTAAGGAGCAAAGGCTTGGAAAAACAAAAGGCTTTATCAACTGAACTTTGTTTTAAGATAGGAAAGTGCTATTCTAAGTTAGGTTTATTCTTGGAAAGAGCTGAGAGAACTAGCAGGAAATGATGAGGTGGGAAAATATTACTGAGTTTTAGTTACATCACAATGGGGTTAGGATAGGTCGACAAGGAGGCAGCACACTTTGGATCACACACACTACAGTACCTAACCCTCCTCTCTCTGAAGAATTCCTCACTCTTCAATGCTAAGCACTGTTTCACTTCTAATTGCACTTCCCTTCAGCAAATGCTCAGGCAGAAATCTGACTTGCAAGTCTACTTTCACTTACACAGGTATTAATATTTATTTCTTTATTTCCCCAAAATAAAGCCCACAGGCTGGATGCAATCTTTCAAGGTCATTTACCTCCCCACCCCCCTCAACTTTAGAGTTAGGGTTACCTGAAGTCTGAAACGACTTGAAGGCACATAACAACAATCCAAATTTACTCAACTATCAGCCAAAAGCAGGCCCACATTTCCTACTGAAATAATAGTAAGTTTATGTTGGTTAAAATTATTCTAAATTTTGAATGTTGCATTGTTCTTCTGTGGGTTTTTTTTTTTTTGCACTACAAATAAGATATGTACAGTGTGCATCAGAAATTGTACATTTTTTTTCAAACCGTAGTCTGATTCCCCAACAGTCTGAGGGATCGTGAACTGGCCCTCTGCTTTAAAAATGTGAGGACGCCTGCTTTATAGTATTTACATTTATATCCTGCCTTCCTCTCATGTGGAATGCAAGGTAGCATACCTTGTGTTTTCAGCCATGATCTGACCTGCTTTGCTTTGGCAATGTAAAATATTTTATTACTGTTTCCTCTCCAGAACCAGCCCAAGTCACATCACTGCCTGAGGCAGTGATCCTCCATCCGAATAACACCATAGGCAAAGCATGTCATTTTGAAAACAAAAGCAGAAATTCTCTCTTTGGCAGTGAATGCATTAAACGTTAACTAAAAATACAATGCCTTTCATGATATCTCCCAATTTTGCTACCTCGGGCAGCAATCTCACTGTGGGTGCAGCTAGACTGCAGATGTAATGCAGTCTAACACCACTTGAACTGCCACTTACTATGCAATTATGGGAGTTGTAGTTTTACAATGTTTTTAGCATTCTCTGCCAAAGAATACTGGTGCCTCACCAAACATCACCTCCAAGGACTCCATAATATTGGGTCATGACAGTCAAAGTGGTCTTAAACTGCATTAAGTCTATAGTGTAGTTGCACTTAGTGTCTAACCGTTAGGCCAGTCCTGTTGTTTACAAGTATGAGGCATATTCTGACATTTTCAACTGGCTAAACTATATATATATATATAGTTTGTATCTAATTTATTGTATATATTTTGTGTACATTTGTTTTTACTTTATTGTGCCCCACCTTGAGCCATCAGAAGAGGCAATTAATAAATAAAAAATATTAATTATATTATTATTATGACATTGTGAGTCTCCCAGTTCTGTTGTTCTGTATAGGTGTTGGGAATGCATTTTTTATGCTGGAACTAATATACGAATGCCCTCCTTCCCTGCAACAATTTGGCAACTACCGTAGTTTGAGTATGCATGACTCATTCCGCTTCATTGTGGGAACAATAAATTAGTGGGTATGATCTGGTTATCCCTCCATTGGGAATTCCCAAGGACTACTTCTGGTGCTTGGGCACGTTGGACAAGAGTGCTCAAGAGAAATGGCTGTGTTTTCTATACTATTCAAATGTTTCAGACATTTTCTGATGTATATTAATATATAAATGATTTGTGGTTGCATTGCAATAACAACGCAATTCTGTTAATGTCACTTTTCAGATGACTTTACAGCATAGGAGAGTTTCCAAAGGTCTTTTCACTGTTTCCTTGCAATATCACACATCAAAGTTTCACCACCAAAGGGTTCTTTTTAAAATTAATTTTAATTTTTTTATAGTATAAAAGCACTCTGATGTCATCCTTTAATAGTGTTATTGCAGCTTAATGAATACGGATGCAGGTGTTTTGAACAGGCAACATGAAACAACTAACTCGTGTAATAAACACCTTTTTTTCACAAGTGAAAGATTTTAAAATAGTGGGGGTAATATGCCCCCTTTATCTTCCTGTACCACTTTTCATGATAAGATTTAGACTGTGATGGGTGTGGCGTAATAACGTAATGCTATATAAAAGAAATTTGAGGTAAACCAATCATGAAATGCAAAGCAGGACAAACAGGTTGGTGATAACAACATTAGGGCAGGTAGAAATGTGTACATCCTGTATTACAGTTCAAGTGTGCCAAGGGTGTGAGATATGATACATTGCCAGTTCTCATTGCAAGTATCACTGTAATGGATTTCAAGACTAATGGCATGAAGTCATATGCTCCTTTATTTTGATAATTATAGAACGGTGCTCCTATGCAATACAAAACAATAACAACAAAACATTAGTTCTATAAAACTCACAATCTGGGAATTCATGTGAGAGGAGAGGGAAAAAAAGAACATTGTATTGTCGAAGGCTTTCATGGCCGGAATCACTGGGTTGTTGTAGGTTTTTTCGGGCTATATGGCCATGGTCTAGAGAGAATGCCTCTAGACCATGGCCATATAGCCCGAAAAAACCTACAACAACCCAAAAAAAGAACACTGTCAGTAAGTCTTAGATTTCTTCTATTTAAAGCAGCTGTTCTCAGCCCCCCATCTAGATGCATTACTCTAGAGCAGTGTTTCTCAACCTTCCTAATGCTGTGACCCCTTAATACAGTTTCTCATGACCAACAGAAAATACTGGAAGGGTTTGGTGGACACTGACATTGAGTTTGGGAGTTGTAGTTCACCTACATCCAGGCTGTGGACTCAAACAATAATAGATCTGGACCAAACTTGGCACAAATACTCAATATGCCCAAATGTGAACACCGGTACCACACTGCTATGCACCGAGCACGCCTGCTCTCCCCTGCCCGCTTGAAGTCTTAGAAAGAGCCCTCCCTTTGTCTGAGAGGCCAGCCAATCACAGCAGAGGATGGCTTTTGGTGGAAGGATTCGCTGCCTGTTTCCAAAAAGGAAAAAAAGGGCAGGGGCAAGATCTTCAGCCTTCTCTGCAAAGGGGTTCCTAAGACGATCATAAATATATATTTTCTGATGGTCTTTGGCGACCCCATTGAAACCCTCTCATGACCCCCCGCCAAGGGTCCCGACCCCCAGGTTGAGAAACACCACTCTAGAGCATTCAACATACCCAGGGTAATGTGCTTTAAGGGT